TTTAAAGATGGAAGTGGTTTCTATTGTTTCCCTCAAGTTCACACAGATTTCCTAATGGAGCGTAGATCATTATATTAATGAATGTTCCACTAACGCTTGAAAACCAGTCAGTGTCCAGATACTTTTGTTGCCATTTTGAACATTGTTGTTTTGTCATTTGAATTCTTAGAAATCATGTTTGAACTATATTGATTTGACTTTATTATATTACGCACTGACATACACATTTTGTTTAATGTGTCTTAAGTGTCCAAATATGTTTTGAGGCCACTGTAGATGGAGAAAACAAACATTTTGACGTCCGATGCTCAGAAGGAGTGAGCGCAACAACAACCGTTTCTGGATGCTTTCCATGTTACATTGTTTAAGCCGAGATTTACAGGAGCGTTTAGACGGCGAGTGCCCGCTGGCTTGGCGCTGTCAAGCGTTTGCAGCTTTAATCTGATCTATTATGCTGATGAGTTTGACTCGGTTCCAGAGCCTTCAGTGGCTTCACACTCTCACAGTGAGCTGGCAGCCGACTCCATCACCTGCGCTGGTGAGCACACCGACACTTTGTCACTCAGTCACACCTGATCCGAGTCCAAAAGCGGGTTGTTCACACCAATTCTAGTTTACGTTCTCTCCTCGAGCGTGCCAGAGAACTCCTTTGTCTCTGGAAATTTAAGTAAGAGGAGGTGTGCTTCTCTTCCTTCCTGGGATCCTACGTGTGTATGTGTATGTGTGCGTGCGTGCGTTTGGAAGAGAGGCATGAATGAATTAATGATGTCTAAAGTAAGTAGGGCATGTTATAATGATGAATGTGTGTAAGGTGTGTTCATAGGACAGCAGAGCAGGAAGTAAGTGTGAGCGAGTGGAGCTCAGCTTCAGCCCTGCAGCTTAAGAGATATTCTCCAACAAACCCTCTCATATATCATCACGATACACAGTCCCAGCACTCCTCTTCCTCATTCTCATGTGCTCTCACTCCCCCTTCAGCATGCATGCATATTCCCCACAAGATGCTTTAGAATGTTATAGGCCAGACACTGAAGCATAACAAATATTAAAGGGATAGTTCAATCAAAAAAATGACATAATTTACTCACCCACATCTCGTTCCAAGCCTGTATGCCTTTCTTTCTTCCCTGGAACATGATGAAAAAAGTTTAGCAGCTTGTCCCAGGAGCTCTTTTCGGTCCAAAAATACAAAACAATGGAATTTTATACTAATATTTTTAATGAATAATGAGTCCTTACGCAACGCATGATTTCATGAAGTCATTTGGTTTTGGAACAACATTTTAATTTTTGAAGGAACTACTTTAAATGCATGTATGTGCACTGAAGTGTCATTATAAATGGAAAATACAAGGTTTAATAAGATGTTTTTACAATATGGTAAAAATAAAAGGAATACTCTAATCATATATGAATATAAATACACTACATACACTACCATTCAAAATACTGATTGTATATGTTTATTAAATAAATAAATACTTTTATCCAGCAACAATGGATTCAATTGATTTAAAGTGACAGTAAAGACATTCATGTTACAAAAGTTTCTATTTCTATTGTTTCTATTTAGAATAAATGCTGTTCTTTTGAACAATCTATTCATCATAGAATCCTGAAAAAATATATATCACAGTTTCCATCATGTGCTGGTGAGCACAACATGATCCAAGTTCAAATCCAGGTTGTGTCAGAGAACTCATTTGTCTCTAAACATTTAAAGGAGAACTCCTGAGCAAAATGAACCTTTGGTCTAATAAAACATTGGTACCTAGTCAACCGTTCTCTGAGATTTGGTTTCATGAGGATCGAATGTAAAGAGTTTTATCTCTAAAAACTGTTTAGCGTAAAACGCTAGTAATGGGGGCATCTATTAAGTAAAAATAAATCGCTAGTTTATACCACTAACAAGACTCAAAATAGCCCCACACTAACACAGTAACATAATGAGGGTCCCTACATGCAAAACGAAGCATTGAGAACTTTGTAAGTGTACAGACCGTTTAATAAGAAGATATTTTATGAAGACAGTCCACTTCGTGTATACAGACAGGAGCCATCTTTGGAAAACAGTCTCGACTAATCAAACCACGAACGACGTGCTAAGTGAGCTGAACTGTTTTTAGAGATAAAACTCTTTACATTCGATCATCATGAAAACAAATCTCAGAGAACGGTTGACTAGGTACCAATGTTTTATTAGACCAAAGGTTCATTTTGTGCCGGAGTTCTCCTTTAAGGGGAAATAAATGCTGTTGTTTTGAACTTTCTATTCATCAAAGAATCCTGAAAAAAACATTAACCGTTTCCACAAAAAATTTTAAGCAGCACAACTGTTTTAAATATTGATAATAATAAGAAATGTTATTGAGCAGCAAATCATCATATTAGAATGATTTTTGAAGGATCATGTGACACTGAAGACTGGAGTAATGGCTGCTGAAAATTCAGCTTTGCCATCACGGGAATAAAAGATATTCAAATAAAAAACGATTATTTTAAATTGTAATAATATTTTACAATAGTACTGTTTTTTTCCTGCATTTTTGATTAAATAAATACAGCCTCGGTGAGCAAAGGAGGCTTCTTTTAAAAACACTTGAACTAAAAAACCTTACTGACCCCAAACTTTTGAACGGAAGTGTAGATTACACTAATTTAAATGTAAGTGGATGAAACGCTGCTTCAACAGACACAAGTAGGCTCTTTCTACACAATCAATCAAACCCAGTCAGTCAACCAAATTCCACTCAGTTGAACCCAAGATGGTAAAAAGAAGAAAGGTAAGGGATGGAATGTCCCTGAGCTGAGAATAAGGTCACTCCTCGCAATCTTCTCTCTCTGACTGCAACATGACAAAACATCCAAAGGCAAATCTGCCAACTCAACTACAGGAAATAAAAAAAAACCAAAACAAAAGGAAAACATCCCCCGTCCACGACGGCCATGAAGACAAATCCAATTATTTGTGTCTCATGTTGCAAATTTGTTCTAATGGATGGAATAGGAAAATAAATAAGTGCCTGCAAAAGGAAACAAAGGGATGCGAATTCTAATTAACATGAAAGAGAGACGAAGAGACGTGTTAGTAAACCCATCTTTCATCCTTCTCCTCTCCTCATAGCCTGCACATTTGTTTGTGCCCGAATGTTGTCTTTTAGAGGGAATCGTGTTTCCATTTCGCCAGCAAATTAAATGTCAACAGATTTAACATCGGCTCCAATCTCATTTTTTTCTGGAGCGTTTTGTCGATTTTATTGTTCATTAAGCGTTTTTTTTTCTTTAGCATTGCTTGCGCTCAAGCGCCTTTATTTGTCACATCTTGGCTTTGAAGATCACAAAGGCCTGGGACAATAATTAGGTTTAGTGTAATTACGAACTGAGCATAATGAAAGAGTTGAAGGGAAATGTCTGGCCCTATCTGCTCACTGCCTCTCCGGATAACCATTAATCCCACATTAGCCCTGCACTGTCCCTCTAAACAACGGCTTTGAGAAAGATGGTATTATCAGATGACCAGGTCACACACAAATACTGAATTTGATATCAAAGATGTAGGGAGAGGGCAGATCACTTCAGCTGCTGTATAAAACACTGAGGTTTAGATACTGCAAAGCAAGCTGCCTGCATTTGACCCTAAACAACATTAATAATGAGAAAGAAAAAGTAATTTAAACAGAGAACTATAAAGACATCACACGAACCTAAACAACCAATATCTGGTTTGCTGTTGTTCAGCTCAAACTAAGTTCAAGAAAGCGCATCGTAAACAGCCTTGTAGCATGTTTTTTTTTTCTCTGTTGTTTTGACAAGAAAACACCTTTTTCGATTAGCTTTATAAATACCCCAGTAACGTACCTGATTTAGGGCTTTTATACACTCCATGCTGTGTGTCAATGAGCGTGTGACAACTGTGCCGCACCTGAATATCTGCAAGCTCTTTTGGCAGTCTGGAGACAAGAGCTGTTTCCTTCATGTAGAGTATAAAGACACTACAGGGCAAAAAAAAAAAAAAAAAAAAAAGTTTGTTTGTTAGTTTGCTCAAACATTTTAAAACATTATTAATTAATTAACAATTTAATTACTATAAAGTCTTAAATACGCAGAGAACCGTTTATTGCACCCAGTTCTCCTCATCTCTTTTAAACAAGATAGATAGATAGATAGATAGATAGATAGATAGATAGATAGATAGATAGATAGATAGATAGATAGATAGATAGATAGATAGATAGATAGATAGATAGATAGATAGATAGATAGATAGATAGATAGATAGATAGGTAGGTAGGTAGGTAGGCAGATAAGATAAGATAAGATAAGGTAGGTAGGTAGGTAGGTAGGTAGGTAGGTAGGCAGGCAGATAAGATAAGATAAGATAAGATACATAGATAGATAGATAGATAGATAGATAGATAGATAGATAGATAGATAGATAGATAGATAGATAGATAGATAGATAGATAGATAGATAGCCACCGTGGAACTGATAAGAGTAGCCAACATGATTAGAAGATCTGAGCGCTCTGGTAGGACAGTGTAGTTGAAGAAGGTCATTTTGGTGCACAGCTAGCCAATGCCTTGTACACAACAGAAGAATTTTAAAATCAACCCTGAACTTAACAGGAAGCCAGTGGAGAGATGCTAGTATAAGGCAAATATGGTCCCTCAAAAGCATTGCGACTGTGTTTTGGACAATTTGCAAGCGAGATAATATAGACTGAGGTATAGCAATATTAAGAAATTACAGTGATCCAATCTTGATGTGATAAGTGCAAGGTTCACTTTCCTTGAAAGATGTCTTAACTTTTCATTAAATCTCAGTTTACAAATGACAAAATCTCAAATCTCATACATCAATGATCCAAATAAATATAGGCTAATAATGTTATTGTCTGTCAGTCTAACAAGTGACTACATTTGTCATGACAATGTCATGCTCCTGTTTCAGTGTCTGGATAGACATGTGGTGTGTGCAGTGCACACAGATGAAACTCCAGATGGCGAGTGCAGACCTGTGCAGCGTAATGCAAGAAAGAACAGCCTGGGTGTGTGGACAGGTTCCCAAAAAGCTGGATTCTGGCTTCTGCCAGCCTTCCTCAAGACGGGTGAACACTGTCCCAAACATATGATGTGAAAATTACCTTTGACCAGCAGATGAATATAGGGCAATGCCTTTACCCTCTTAAACACATAAGACATAACCACCCAAAGGTTAGCTCACAATGTAGCTGGAAAGATTGAACACTGACGGGTTTTGCAGAACATGAGATCACCTCGAGCTGCCACTGGGAAGAAAATTAGGATTCAGTTAGCTCAATTTTACATGAACAAATAGACTGTTATTCTATTTTAGCACTGCAAACGTCATATGATCAGAATGTACCATGCTTTTTGTAAATAACCTTTACCATAACAGTTAATGGTCTAATGAGAGGGTTAATATGTTTAGCTTTAAAACACAGATAACATGAGCCACAATGGACACTAAATAGGCTACTGCATTTGATTTCATATATGATATCACTGAACAGAATACAGCTTTTTTTTTGTAAACAAAATGAGGGCAGTTGATTGAACACGAGAAACAGCATTTGTTATCAATAGTAAATTAGCTTGCCTAATAACATAGTAGGCTAGTGTAGCAAACATAGTGTAGCATTAATACCATCCATGTAGAAGATTCAAAAAGTCTTTGTGGTGCTCAAAAAAACGAAGACGACGGACTCATCTTGTGCGCCATCTTGTGTGAAGAAGACAATACTAACGTTAACGTTACTGCAAAAGTCTAATTATTAATGTGTCCAGGAGATGGCAATATTTACAAGCTTTCATACAAGCTTATTCTTTGCAAAAAGAATAAAACTCTATTGGACTACTGTATCAGGACGTTGAGTACACTTTTAATGGTTGTTTGTAAGTTCTTCGACATATCTTTATTTTTCTATCAGACGTTTCCCGCTTATAAGTGATTGTTTCTATCTCGCGTGCGCCGTTGCCATGGTGACCAGACGCCTGTCTGTCTGCCTGCTACCCGAGAGCTTTTCAAAATGGTGAGTCTCCCAATGTTTTTAAGAAAGAATTTTTTTAAAGCAACTAAATATAAGCACATATGTGCTATAAAGTCTATTTTCAGTAAATTAATCATGGCCGCTTATTTAAAGAAACATAAAAAGCGAAAGTCCCGACACAAAATGTGAACTTAGCATCTTGATATGCATGTTAGCAATGCCTGTCTGAAAATACTTAACGTTACCTTTGACTTTTTTTCTGTGATGTTTTCCCCTTAATCCATTTATTTATTTATTTGTTCTTTTCAACAGCCACCAAAGGATGGAAAAGTATTTTGTTTGTTGGGAGTCAATATATTTATAACAGTTTTCAACCTCAAATTAGTTTTATTTTATTAACGTTATAAATGTTTTTTGTCAGGTAGGCTTGTAGGTGTATTCTTAAAAATAAAATACCAATTTTGCCAGTAAAATAATGCCTGTATATAACATCTCTTCACTTACTAATTTGTTTTATTAGAAATTGTAGAGTTTTATAGAACTAACGTTAACGTTATATAAATGCAGCTATAAACTTTAAGCTAAAAAATTGTTTCATTAAAAAGGAAAGAAATAATTTGGTCACTTTACACAGCATTAATAACTTGTATCTTTTGTATCCAGTCTGCAAAAAAGAAAGGAGGAAAAATCAGCAAGGCTGAGAGGGAGAGATTGCAGAGAGAGGCAGATGAACAAAGATTGAGAGAGGAAGGTATATCTGCAGTATTAAAGTAATTTAATTTTAAATTAGTTTTTTGATTGATAAAGATAACAAATCTGTATACTGCGTTTTGTCCTGTAGAAGAAGCTCGTCTCATTGCTGAACGTGAGGAGAATGAAAGGCTGGAGAGGGAGCGAATAGAACAAGAGAAACAAGAGCTACTTGAGTTAAAGGTCTGATGAACTTTCATTTGAACATTCACAGTTGTGTTGCAGACATTTACCTGCGGGCTTTAGTGCATATGGAGCTGTCTGTACTGATGGATTGTGTGTGACAAGATTGGATTTGATGATTGATTGACGCCTGTCAATGTCCACAGGACAGAGAGCGCAGAGAGGACGAGCTGAATGAACTGCGGCACATTCTAGATGAGAACCACTCTGCAGTCACCACGTGGGAATCAGAATGCAGGAACAAAGCTAAGGTACAAGACTTATAGCTTTATCTCAGGGAAATTCTGAGGCTACTATAAGTGTGTTACAGGATGATTTGTTGTCTGGTCTTGTCTAGTGGGAGCGTTACATGCGTTGCGACGGCAGTCCGGATCCAGCTGTGCAGCCGGAAATCAACTCATTCATCAGTTTGTGGAGAGAAGACTCTGAAACCCAAATCCAGCAGGTCTTGGAAAACTGTGCTCTGGCTCTTCAGGTGAGACCAGCACCCTGGATCTGTTGTTTTCATGGTTTCAAGTCAATTATTGATGACTAAGATGATCCTAGTAAGTCGAGTATCATTATTATTGATCATTTTACTATTAAAGTTGACACATAACTCATCCCTCTGTGCTAGGGCTATGAGTGATACCTCAAATCATGTTAATTGTTAAGGATCCAATGTTTTATTTCCTTCTGGGGAATGATACAAAAGCTGATGAAATGTCAGACGTAAGGGCCGTTTGCAACAAGAATGCAGAGGTGGCCTTTGCAATTCGGAGGCCCATTTCAAAGAAACAGTGAGGCCCCCCATCATTCAGTCAAACAATTCATTAAAAACACGTAAAGAAATTCATTTAGTATTCATTTCGATGGCGAAATAGAGCAAAAACAGACCATTTTTATTAATTTTGGTGGCATTTTTGCCCCTAGCCAGGCTCTTTTTAGAGTGCAAGCAGAGGCTCCTTCTTTTGTGAGGCCCGTTTGAAGTAAAACGGGTGAAACATAGCAAAGGACAGTAACTATAATGATATAATGATTTAAATATAAAGTTTGAATAATCATTCTAATTCTAAAACAATAATGACAAAGGGAACAATATCATAAGAATCATTTTCAGACTGATTGTCTTTCCAGCTGATGACCAATAAAAACTAGGGCTGTCAAATGATTAATCGTGATTAATCACATCCAAAATAAAAGTTTTTTTTACATAATATATGTGGGTGCACTGTGTATAATTATTTTATATATATAAATACACACACATGCTTGTATATATTTAAGAAATATTTTCATGTATATACTGTATAGATTTAGATATAATTTATATTATATATAAATATAAATATTTTATATATAAATAATATTTTTTTCTTAAATATACATGCATGTGTGTGTATTTATATATATACAAAATAATTATACACAGTGCACCCACATATATTATGTAAAAAAAAACTTATTTTGGATGTGATTAATCGTGATTAATCATTTGACCGCCCTAATAAAAACATCCAATCTTAATCTATCCGACTTTAAAGAGCTTGAGAATTTAAAGCAGCAGAGGAAATAACTGCTATGGAACGTCAGGCAAAAATGTACACAACATGTTGATGATGCATTGCTTGCGTGTTGTTTACATATTAAAAAAAGTCAATGCAGAAGCAATGTACAAACAGTGTTGTTTACATGTTAAAATGTGCATGTATTTGAACTGCCTGGAGTTCCACAGCAGTGGAATGAAATAAATGCAAGGTCTATACACAACTTTTTTTAAACAAACTTTACTTTACGTTTTTTTAAACGTAAGGTGCTCCAAGCGATGTCGGGTGACGTCACTTCTTGTTGACGTTTAAAGTATTGTCAAACAAAACGGAGGCTAGCTAGACCCTCCCTCCTCCTCTGTGCTCTAACCCCCCAAATCCTTCTTGTTGGTTATTGGCTGGAACAGTTTGTTATGTTTCGTGGTGCGGGTTAGCCCAGGTTGTTGCTCCAGTTTGTGGAGCCTGGGGTGTCTGCAGAGACCGCGTTGTTTTACAGTGTGTTCTGGGGACAGGCAGCTAGCGGATAGTGAGGAGATGTTTGCTGTATGTGACAAAAAAATGTTTGGCCTAAAAAACAGGTGACATCGCTTAGAGCACCTTTAAGCATCACATTTTTTAGAATGTAGCTTCATGAGTGAGAGACATGAGAGTCTATGCATGTTTGCATAGAAAAACAATGGAAAAGCAGCACAGTGGAATGCAAAAACATGTTCTGTGTGAATGGCCCCTTAAAAAAAGAGAGAACGTTGTTGTCCATTGGTGTGGATCCTGGTTATCGTTATAGCAATCTTTATAGTTTATAGCGCCAATAAGCAACTCCTTAACCACACTATCAACCACATAGCAATACCCAAAACATTGTAGCATCATGGTGGAGAGTTTTGTGCAGGCATGTTTTCTTCAGAAAATCTAAAACAATTTCTCTTGGACAGTTGATAGACGAACTAGACTTCCTCTTGAGTGAGGGTCCTGAGCCATGCACTGCTCAACAGTATCGAGAAACAGTCCTTTGTCTACAGAATATCAACCTCTACAAACTCAACCAGGCCACTGAGGAGCTTCTTAAGGTGAGTTCTTCCCATGCAGCTTACTTCTATTTCAACACATATTGGATATAATATGCGTTTTGCTCCCCGTCCAGTTTGCAAATTCTAGTTCTGACATTGAGACTGGCAACATGCAGACTGTAGTCCAGAACGACAACATTTCTCTTTGTCTGTGGGCCAACCTAAACAAAAATCCAAGGTTTGTCAGTCTTCATGGTGAAATTTAGGCACTATTTTAGGATAAAGGAAATACTTGACAATCCATGTTTCCAGGTTTAAAGGTTACCGGTTCGAGGAGGTGGGTCTGGGCTTCGAGTTGCCGAAGCCGCTGGCTGTGAGTGACATCGCTGTTCGGATCCTTCACACACGCTATGACCACTTGTCCCACCACAGCGAGCGTGAACAGGTCCAGAGAAGGAGATCCATGATGGAGGGCTTTCTCACTTTGCCATCTGAGAGTGCTGCAGTGGTGCAAGCTGGGAAGATAGAGGGAGAGGAGGATGAAGGAGAAAGCTCAAAGCAGGTGGAGGAAGAAAGCCGTTCAGTCAGATCAGAGAGCAGGAAGAGGGTGAGTGAGGCTTTGATCATGTGTACACTATGTACTTGTTTTCTATTGGATTCTGTCGCTGACAATATTAATGTGTGTCCATGTGTCAGAGTGCTGTGAGTGTGATCTCATCTAAGGAGGGGAGGAAGAGCTCTTCAATCAAGCTGTTAGAGGAAGGAGAAAGTCAGATGGAGGGAATCGCTACAAATTTAGAAGCTGGTTTGGTCCCTTCTTTTTATCGTCTTTCACTTCCTGATTTTCCTCATTTCTTTCCTTCTTTATATCAAACAACATGAGCTGAGGATGAAATCTTTATCACATAAAAATAACATATAATTTGTTTTAGTTAACTATGATTATTTGTAAAATACCGCCAATGCTTTAAATTATAAATTGGATTGTTCCATATTTGAAATAAATTATTTAAAGCTCCTGTATAATAGTCAAAATTTACACATCAGAATTATAATGATAACATGTTTAATATTATCAGACAGGCCAAATAACTGGCAGAATAATTATTTTATTGTGGTTATTATTATTAATTATTATGTATATGGACACTGCTGCCACGATTTTATAAAAGTAATAAACCACTGAAGGATGTTACATCATAGTCTAGCTCAGAAAATCATGAACTCCACGTGACTGCATGAGTTCGAGTTGATATCTATATTAACATGTACATATTATAGTTGCTATGTTGTTTTGCATAAAAAGCCAAGAGTTACACTGCAGAGCTGTATTAAGTGGCAAATTATGTTTTGTTCTAATTATTAATATTATTTAACTATGCTTTGCATGGCACCTAAAAACACAGCTTACTCGTACTTGGGTATTAAAATTATAGCTAATAAAAATGTCAAATTATTTTGATGTCAGGATGATATCCAATAAATCGTTGGTCAAAATTCTATACTACTTTTAATTAAATACAAATAATACATACTGCAAGTTAATTTAGGCATCACAACATTATAACAAAGTATGATGATGGAATTTCATTTTGAGATTTGCTAAAGATTACAATGTGTTATTAAACTAATCTTTATTAAATTGTCTCTAGATCAAAATTGCTCCAACCCATCACCAGCTGAACTGGTGTTTGACAGTGCTGACATAGTGGATCTGCAACAGTTCACACCCTTAGGCGGAGTCTTCTACTTTGATGTCTTCCATCTACCACCCCAGTCTCATATAGTGAAGGGCTGGGAAATGAGAGAGGTACATCTTGGGATGTAATCAGGGACACTCTGCAAGAGATCATAGAAAGTAATTTGCATTAATAATCATTCGCTGTTGTGCTTCCTCATAGTTGTTAGAGACCGGTCTGCAGGTGTTCCCCTATCCCACAGAGCAGTCACACGTTCAGAGCTCTACCTCAGTGAGGCTGGATGAACACAGTAGCACTGTTGTCTCATTGCCTGTAGGGGTCACTGTAGCTCTGCCTGACTCAATAATGTTTCTGGAGGGTCCACAAGTGGCACGCTGGGATCCCATCGGTGAACAATTCACACCACACGTACAGTATATGCAACAATAGACTTTATATTGAATACATTCATATCTTAGTACAGTATTTTACCTTATGCTTGTTATTGGTCACCGTTTTCTGCAGGCCAACACTGGCGGACGGACTGCATCTCTGAGACAAATTATGACGCAGAGACCCGCAGCATCTCCTTTCAGATGAATGCATTCTATGCCTTTACATTACTGCAAGAGTCTTATGCTAATATGCCTTTCCAGTCATGGGAGCTGAGGCCCCTGGGCCAAGACTCAGCATTGTTCACAATCACTGGAGCTCTTACTGAAGTCAGCATCACAGTCAAGGCAAGAGAGTCCCTGTTCAAACATATCCAAGATTATAAAAAAAAACATGTGCCAAAATTCTTAGAAATGTACTCAATTTAAAAAATAAAAAAAGTTTTTTTTTTTTTTTTAAACAAGACAAAACAAGCATTAAAATACGTTGAAACCACTAAAAATCAAGGAGTACATAAGTGTTTCAAATATTAACAAGCAGCAAAATAGTTTTATAAAAAAACATGCTTGTCACAGAGTAAGTGACCTCACAATTACTCCATGTATGACTTACATTTTTAATGTATTTTGAACATATCAATAGACAACAGAAAAAAGCATCCTGTCAAAGGCATTTAATTTATCTAAGCCTTTCATTTCAAGGCCATATCGTTTTTGATACATACTGAGGGCCCCAAAAAAATGTTTGCCCTCTGTGTGCAATCAACAGGACTGATCGATAGCTTTTTTGTTTCTCAGGGTAAGCAGTGTATGCTGCAAATGGAGGAGAAAAAAGACCTGGATAATCTTCTAGGGAAGTGGATGAGCCCCTCAGAACTGCAGAAGGCCATGAGGAGAGCTGGGATCAATATATTTGTGAATGAGTATTCTGACAAGTACGTCAGCATCAACTCAAAGGTAACAAAGGGGCTGAATTGCCTTAGAGCCAATTCAATAATTAACTGTTAAATAGACAAGTTATAAAAACCCAGCTTTGAGCTTATTATAATTTTTATACATTTTTAGGATCCATTAATAGAGCACACAGTGTATGAACAGATGGCCCTAATGTCCTCAGCCGTGGCTTTTTCCTGGAGCCGCTGGAACACACAATGCGGACAAGAGCACCTTGTTCTTCAGGCATGTCATTCACTCCTATAAACAGACTAAAGCCCTATTGAACTACTGTATGTGTTCTTTTTAAGCAGGCAGTACCTCTGACCTTTAACCTTTTGACTCTGGTAGGCGTGTGAGCAGCTGGAAGCGGTGCCAGTGGCTGAGGAGATGTGGTCTCTTTACTTGCTGGGTGCTCAGAGGAACCAGCATCTTAAGATGAAGGAGCATGACAACAGCTTCTCTGCTGAACTGGCCGAGGGCAGCGAGTTCCACTCCACCTTTCAGCACATGCTCAGACAGGACATGAGCATCGAGGGACAAGCTAGAGTCCGTCAGTCTCACTATCTCTACACAGACACCATACAGAGGCTCCTATGTGCAACACGTGTCCTCACATATTCCTGAGATTAGAAAACATACACATCCAGAAACAAGCAACACGCATACACACTAATATCTAAAACATTTAACACCCATTTTGAACATGTGATAGTCAATGCAATATGCTGAGGATATAAAATTACACCCAGCATACTTCTCTTTATAACCAGCAAGTGGAGCCAAATAATCTTGAATGCATTTTTCTGATACCAGCAAAAATACTTAGAAATATGTCAAAGAAATAAATATAATATCTCAGAGCACTGGGTTAAATCATTGACGTTGAGGAAATGTTTATAGTGCCAGAATATAAACTCACATGTGAATCTCATCAAATCTGACCTGTCCAGGTTTCCCCTATAATAAAGTTAATTTTAATCAAATTGAATTAAAAATAAAGACATTACAAATAAAGGAGATAAATTAAATTCTGAAGGGGCATTAAGATATTTTTAGCAGTGTGAAATATATATATATATATATATATATATAAAACTTAAATGCTTAACACTTACACGAATACGGTCACAATGCAAAAACGTTCTTAAAAACAAGCTTCATAAATATAAATTATATTTTTAAAAAAATATATCATAGATACAACATCTATTGATTTGGCGGCTAAAACATGACTCAGACATGTTTTGGTGAGATTCTCCCAAATGAGATTTATAGATTGTTATACTAATGTTTTATTATGTACTATTTGACATTGATTCCATTGACATCATTTTATATCGCCTTGGATGAACAATTCAAAGTAAGACATACCCAAACGTGAGTATTACATGTAACAGACTGACTGAAGCCTCATGATCCATTTAGCTTGTTTTCCTGCAATAAATAGTGAGATTATTTGGATCAGTTTCTTTTATTGTGCAAAGTTTCTCCCCCCCTCCCTCTTTGGAACATACAAAAGTGAACATTAAACAATAAACACCAAACCAACAGCTTAATAAGGTTAAAAATTGTGTGTTTGTAACAATTAATAATATCAGGAAAACCATCTACTGCATAAAACTGTAAAACAATAAGTTAACAAAAAGAAAAAAAATATTTTTTTAAAAAAATCTCAATACTCTTTCAAACTTCCCATAAAAATACACTGATCAATTTCAAAATGTTTAAAAAAAAGTCAGCCTTTTCGGGCAACCGATATATGATGTTCGACATTCACACTGTTGCAGTCTGCTCATCTCACTCCAATCCAAATATTCACTGTGATTGGCTGGCACTGAGTGTCTCATATAAATGCCTACAACATACGTGGCCAACACAACGGTTTGTGTACACAGCATCCAAGCAGTCTGCAGTTTTCAGCGCATCTCTCTCAAGACGCCCACATTTCTCTTTACCTTCAGTAAGAAATGGTCACAAAGAGTTCTTTTAGTAGGACAGGCAGCAGTGTTGCATCACAGCTAGTGTAGCCGGAGGAGTTTCTGAATGTCAGGACCGGCTACTCCATCCTTGCAGATGCCCAGGTGTCACACAGGGGGCTGGGCGTTGTGCCTCAGCCCAGTATAGGGCCACAGAAGCTGCTGGATGGTCATCCAGGAGTCCCCGGTGCCCACAGGTGCTGCATCTACTGCAGGCTGTAACATCAGGCTTGCCAAGAGGGCCAGTAGAACAGCTAGCACTACAAACAAGGCCACCCAAATCCAAATGCCCCTGGTGCCTCTGGACACTGCAGGCCGCCCCTCCATCAGACTGGGTGGAGTGTGATCTGTTGGGCTGGGGCTGGGACTGGGATGGAGAGTGAAAGAAATGTTTAAAGAAAAGTACAAAAGCATACCTTCAACAAAAAGAAGCAAGGCGTTTTCTTATGCTAAACCAGGAAAGAGAAAGTAAAATGTTCATGGTATTGTAATTAGCTGCTGAACACTTTATACAGTAGATATCTTTAGGTCAGTAAAATACTCTGTACAAGCAATGACTTGGCAATGAACAGCAACCATGTGGTCTCATTGTGCATACTTAATGTGCATTCAATAGGAATCAATAACACATGAAATTGAGCTGCTTTAGCTAGAAGCGTTTACATACACATACTTGTATAGAGTATGATCCGAGCTTTATTATTAGAAAATGTACAAAGCAGGTCATAAAAAGCAACAAATTCTATTAAAAAAGGTCAGTCTGAATGGGTGAGACGGCTGAGGCGACCTGAAGAGAATAAGGTGAACATTTAAAGGAATGTGAAAACTGACTGCTGTTGCTGAAAGCAATGTTTGACAAAGCACATGATAAACAAGATAAATATGAATGTTCTGTGATAGACCGATACATATAAAGGTCAGGCCGGGTAGTCGGCCAATACTTTAACATGTTGAGGTCAGCCAATAATTGACTGGCCGATTAACAAAGCAGCCGCAGTTTCGAAATATACCAGCTAGGTCAATTTCTTGACTTTCATTCTTGAATTTCGAAAAGTGTTTTACACTACAGTTCAAAAGTTTGGAGTCTCTTATGCTCACAAAGATCAAATATATAGTAAAAAATAGTAAGATTGTAAAATATTATTACAATTTAAAAAAATGTTTTTTCTATTTTAACATATTAGATGTAATTTATTCCTGTGATCAATGAATTTTCAGCATCATTACTCCAGTCTTCAGTGTCACATGATCCAACAAAAATCAATCTAATATGCTGCTTTAATGCCACAGAGACATTTCTTATTATCAATTTTGAAAACAGTTGTGCTGATTAATATTTTTGTGAAAATCAAGTTCAAAGGAACATAATTTATTTGGAATAGAAATCGTTTTAACATTAGAAGAGCATGTTTTACTGTCATTTTAAATCAATTTAATGCATATTTGCTGAATTAAAAATATATATTTCTTTAAAAAACAAACAAAATATAATCTTACTGACCCCAAACTTTTGAACAGTAGTATACATATAAATATATCCATCCTCATCTCTAGTTATCGGTCTACCACTCATCCTGTTTTCAAGAAAATACCCAAGAGAACGTCAGCACACAACTGTGGGATCAAAGTACACTGGCAAATTTGCAAATGCCCACAACGGTCCACCAATGTGGAGAAAAAAATATTTTCAAGAACTTTGTCTTCTCTCTGAAACCACAGGTTGGCTGATTAGATTACTTGCTGCAAACCGAAGCAGAAGACATGCAGTGTCATAATGTGTGTTAAAGATATATGCAAAGCTAACGAACATTACGGGTGTCCAGCGTCCATTCAGAACACAATTAAAGTTACTTTCCCAGCTTAGCTGTAGGAGCAAAAGGCAGTGACATTATTGACAGAAAACCCTCGATTTGTAGTAGATAATGCCTGGATGCTGAAGCAGAGAAATAATGGATGCGGAAGATACACTAACGTCTTAGTTGGCATAATGAAGGAGGTGATTTTGATGCCTAGTTCTGTTAGGCTAGTCCTTCTGTCCGCTTGTTCCTCTTTCTGCTCCTCCTCCGAGTGAGAGTCTGTTTCATATCCATACCTGTGCAAAGTTTACACTGTACTGACCCATCTTGGCTCAAGGCCTCCATTGTGGGTCTGCATGACAACTTTTCGATGGCACATTTGCTTTATGATTTTGACATGAAATCGATGCAAAAGACGAACGGTACACAACAGTTCTTCACGCGTGACCTTACCTATTCATCAGAGTGGGCTCGTCAATGTCGGCCCAAGTACCAGAGCTAACGAAGCGCTTTAGAGGTGGCCTCTTGGCTGTCATGATCCTGTAAAGCGGTTGACACACAGCCATGACATCCTTTCTCGCAGTGCAAAGAAGTGCAGAAGTTTATCAAAACAATCGGCATGCAACTCCAGTAGAGGGCATGGGTTCGATTTCCAGAGAACATACTGATAAGTGTATAATTTCAATGCACTTTAGGTACCTTTCGATAAAAGTGTCTGCCAAATGAATAAATGTTGTTCTGATGCATAAATGAAGTCTTGGGTTACATTAACCCTTGTTTTGGGGGACAAAGTTAAAGGCTGTTGTGTTTTGTGGACCAGGCAATCTCAAAAACAGCATCTGTACACTTACCATGGTGACCGACGAGAAAGTCTCTCGACCTCAGTCTCTGCCATGTCTTTGGGCTGTGAATTAGAAACCACTGTTTATTCAGATGTTACACTTCTCTCTACCAAAAGCATCTCAAAAGCAAAAGTGGACTACTCACCATGTCAAAATGAGTCTGTCCTCCAACGCTGCGGGGAATGGTAGCTATACTGATGCGTCGGCTAGTGGTCTTGGGACAAAACACAAATATCAGTAAACTCTGCAAGCTGATCCATGATCTCAACATGGTGTGTTTTGTTCTAAAACTCACTTTGAACATGTTTGAGGCTGACTGCTTCTTGTTTCTAAAATCATCTGCAAGTATAAAATAAATCCCATGTGATTAAGACACAAAAGAGACTGGTATTATTACATTGTTTTTTTTTATTATAATTATTTTTGTAGCGACTAACCCCTCTCAGAGGACCCAAATGGCCTCTCGTTCGGCGTGAGGTTCTCCCTGAGCTCCAACAGCTCTGCATGCTCCTTGGTGTACATCCTCCTCAAATTCTCCACATGCTGAATCATCACCTCCACCGTTTTACCCACTCTGGTCTCCTATACATGCAAGGAAGCCAAGAAGTAAACAAGCAAGCTTATTTGCTAACTTTGGCTTTAGTGGGCTATTTCAGCACTCTGAAAAGCCAGAGTAAACACACAAACCTGATGAATGGCCCCAAGCATCTCTGAACGGCTTGACACTCTGGTCATGGACTGGATGAGGATCTCAAGGTTCTTCAGCAGACGATGAATGATCTCCATGGACTGGTTATCCTCCTCGCACCGTGGGATCAGGGCCTATAAAACAAAACACAGTGTAATATTCAAGCTACTTCAAACAGGAATTTAGATCAAATTTGGGAAGAAATTACATGTCAATAATAATAATAAGAAGACTACTTGCTTGCATTGACAAAATAGACTACCTTTAAATGTAATTTCTAAGGAAAACCGCTATAGAAATGCAGTCCATTTACCAATTTCTAAGGAATAAAAATGCAGAAGCCTGCAGAAAAAGGACAATGACAGACCTGCAGTAGACCTTTACAACCGTTCACTTCCTTGCGGACATTCTCCTCGGCCAGGTCCCGTGAGCGTTCCTCCAGGCGTAGCCTCTTCTCCAGGGTGAAGATGTCACATTTGAAGCCCAGAGAGAGACGGTGGAACTCCGCCTGGAGGAGA